AGCTTTCTGCTGTTGTTCAGCTGTTTTTCAGCTGTTGTTCAGCTCTCCACTGTCGTTTAGCTGTTCAGCTCTCTGCTGTTGTTCAGCTGTTGTTCAGCTGTTGTTCAGCTCTTGTTCAGCTCTTGTTCAGCTGTCATTCAGTTCTCAGCCCTCACCTTACATTTCTTTAAAAATTGTGTTTCTCCTGTGAAATCTCCATCAAGGTCAGTTTTGCAGCGAGTCTCTCTGATCAGATGTTGAACCTGCAGGTGTGTCTGTGTCCCCTCAGAGTCCCTGCCCTCCGTGGAGCTGGGCTGTGGTCTCGGGATCACCCTGGTCCTGATGTTGCTTCTCTTCGTGGTCTATCACGTCTTCTGGTTGGAGCTGCTGCTGCTGTACCGCTCCTGGTTCGGCTCTGACGAGCGGCACACAGGTGAGCCTTCCTACAAACGCCTTCTCTGACCTTCATCACCTGACTCCTGGTGTCTGGATGCCTGTGTCTGTTAGCAAAATATCTCCTAAACCAGTGGATGGATTTTAAAAACTCTCAGAGGTCCATCTACAACTCAGACCTGTCTGGACCCAACCCAGTTCAAGATGGCCACCTCTGCCTGCTGATATTGGCAAAGACAAAAATGGCTAAAACTGATACCGAGCTAAAGTTTGGTAGTAGCTGAGCATCGTCCTGTGACTCTGAGCGGCAGGCGACGTCCAATCTCTCAGGAATTCCTTTCATTTGAACAGACTTCTTGTCACACCATCAGCAGGTTGGATATTTTTTACTCTTTTTCTTCACAGAAAGTGATAAATGTGGAGCTCTGGCTGAGTTTTGCTGCGTCACTGCCACCGCTGCACGTTCTGCGTCCTCGATGGGGTTTTCTTCTGATGTTCTGGTGTTTTCTGGCAGAACTCAAAAGCTTTTAGATGATTAAATGGTGAAGCTGAGCGAGGCTGCGCCAGATGAACTAACATGTTTTATAGCAAAGCTTTTAAATCGGAGCGCCATCATCTGCAGAGTGGAGGTGATAAAACCTGCTCAGTTTCACTTCTCGTCACATCGAGTCGGGGTTTCTTTCAAAGCTCTGCACCTTCTTCATGCCACAAACGTAAATTAATCGTGTTTTTACAGCGTGGCAGCCAGTGAGTAAAAATAAAACCAGAATTAGAATTAGAACTGTTTCTGTAGAAACATCTGATCGACAGTTTAAAACAAAAACAGTATTTTAAATATTTCAACTTTCACCTTCAAATGTTGTGAAACATATCCTGATGTTTCAGGGTTTTATCCTGATTATATATTTAATTTACTAATGTAAATATGAATATTTTAAATCCTCCTGTGTTAGTGTTTGATTTAACATTCTTACCTAATGCGGGGATGACGTCGCAGAGCTTTGACCTTTGACCTTTGTTCCCTCACTGAGATAAAACGAACAAACTGTCATCCCGCACGATCCAACAGCAGGGGAGACTTTTAATGAGTCCAGCTCCAGAACCAAGGTTCAGGTCCAGTCTGTCCAACAGAAAACTAAAATGTCTTTAAAATATAATTTTATTTTAAATCATTCCATCCATCCATCCATCCTTTATATTCCACTTATTCCAAAGTTGGGTAGCGGGGGCAGCAGCTTGAGCAGGGAGGTCCAGAGATCTCTTTCCACAGCCACCTCTTCCAGCTCTTCTGGAAGGTGTTCCCAGGCCCACCAAGAAACGTCATCTCTCCAGTGTGTTCTGGGTCTTCCCCGGGGTCTCCTCCCAGTCGAACATGGCTGAAGCACCTCCATATGGAGGGGCCCAGGGAGCATCCTTACCAGATGCCCGAACCACCTTAACTGGCTCCTCTTGATGTGGAGGAGCAGCGGTTCTACTCCAAGTCTCTCCTGGTAACTGAACTTCTCACCCTGTCTCTAAGGGAGAGCCCAGCTACCTGTTAATGTTAAACTAACTGATATTTTAAATACTAACTAATAAAAGTTATCTATCTAAAGAAGCAGCAGATTGAGTTTAATCTTTATCGCCATAAACTCCCATCCTGAGCAGCACGTTGGCGACAGTGGAAATAAACAACTCCCTTTGAACAGGAAGAAACCTCCACCAGAACCAGGACCAGGCTAAGGATGGACGGCCATCTTCCTCGACTGGCTGGGGTTAGATTGGACAGGAAAGAGACACAAACATGGAATTACTGGTCCAGGTGACATTTCTATGGTCCAGGTGACATTTCTATAGTCCAGGTAGGGTTTCTATGGTCCAGGTGATGTTTCTATGGTCCAAACAATGTTTTCTTCAGAGAAATTTCTTCAGAAATCCAGTTGTTGTTGTTTTTTTTAACCTTTTTTTTATTATTTGTTATTAGAGACATAAAATTTAATAAAAATACACAAAATTTCACCTGGAATCACACTGACCAACATTTTTGCACAAACTTCCAGTGGAATTGGGGCCAAACATTGCGAGGAGTTCAATATCCCATGATTATGGGATAAACCGAAGCAGAACCTGGGATGTCCCCGTGTCAACATGAGGACAGTTGTCCCAGCGATGGTCCCACTTGGTGTAAAACCTACACTTCACCTTCAAGTGTTGACCTGTGGCCCCACTAAACTTTAATTAAATAAAAGCAGATGTAGACAAAATATTTTCCATTTGGCCATATTTAAACTTTAACCTGAACCAGTGGTGCCTAATACAGGTCCCTGAGGGCCACCTCCTGCAAGTTTTAGATGTTCTTTCTGCTCTTCAGCAGGTGAAGTTCTGCAGTAGTCACTCATTCAGATCAGGTGTGTTGGAGCAGAGAAACCTCTACAACCTGCAGGTCTGTGGCCCTCCAGGTCCAGGACTGGACAGCATGGACCTAAACTTTTGTTGGGTCCAAACATAATCCCCTGCAGTGAGCTCCAGGCCGACGCCGATACCATCAGCGTTTTTATTTTTCAAAACAAACATTTCTGCTCACATTTCATAAGACAAGTTTCCAGAGTTTTATCTTGGTGAAGAAGCAGATCATCATCCACATTTGCTGCTGTCGACCCATGTTTCCTGACTGTGTGTGTGCAGATGATAAGGAGTACGACGTGTACATCTCGTACGCCAGGAACAGCGAGGAGGAGCAGTTTGTTCTGTCCACGCTGCGCAGCGTGCTGGAGAACGAGCTCGGGTACTCCGTGTGCATCTTCGACAGAGACAGCCTGCCTGGTGGGAGTGAGTACACACCCATCACTTCCTCACCCTCACCTGCACTCCATCATCCATCCATCCCCTCATCCCTCCATCTCTCCCTGCAGCCATTACAGATGAGACTCTGAGCTTCGTGGCTCGGAGCCGGCGCCTCCTGGTGGTCATCAGTCCAGGCTACGCCTCGCAGGGCTCCCAGGCTCTGCTGGAGTTGAAGGCCGGTATCGACGGCATGGTGCTGGGCGGACACCTGCGGGTCATCCTGATCCAATACAAACCGGTCCAGAGGCAGGTCTGGGTCAGGGAGTTAAGGAGGGCCCGGATGGCTCTGGTGCTGGTCCAGTGGCAGGGGGACAAGTCCAAAGAGCTGACATCCCGTTTTTGGAAGAGGCTAAGGTTGGAGCTACCTGTGAGGAAGGTCAGGAGCAGGGAGGAGGCAGCCCTGATGAGGCTCCACAGTCAGAACAGCACAAACTCCCAAACCGGACTCATCAGCAACACAATGAAAGACCCGCTGAAGGTCTTCAACTCTGCTGTGTAGCTCAAACAGCGCCCCCTGCAGGTCAGAGGACTGCCTGTCGCCCAGAACTGCCTTAATGTAACCTCAAGCTAAACTGTTGGACCCGTTACAGGACCACAGGCGCTTCAGTCATTAGTCTTTGAAATTCAAGGGTTTTAAGCTAAAATAGTTTGTTTTTTTTTACAATTTTTCTGTAATTTCAGTTAACAGATTTGTTTTTTCTCCATCTAGTAGCTGTTGGAGGAAGTTCAGCTCAGTAATCAACTGGTTTTTTTTTTATAATTTAAAACTATTTATAGTCTGATACACTGTACTTTATGTAACCCCAGGTCTGGTAAAGTTGTATCAAAGATAAATAACAAATAAATAATGATTTATAAATCGTAAAGAATATAGTAAATATGTCAAATGTTTAAATTAAGGAACTGAACCATTTGATTGAATGAAATAAGATCATTTCCAGCTAAACCGTTCAGCTTCATTGGACTTGACGTTGTACATAAAGTTTGGTGTCGTCTGCGTAGAGGAGGATTTAAAGACTGCAGGTCTGTTTTTGAGCCTTGTGAACAAGTATACCCAGTATAAGTAAAGTTTTTATTCTCTTTGAAATAATCCAGCTGAAATCTGCAGCTCTGGTTTATTTTTAGATTTGAACAAACACAGATGAGTTTAAAGATGAAGCTTCTTCTTCTGAACTTGGCTCAACGTTCGTTTTCTCACAGTCATCTGAGTCATCATCATAAAACGGTTTTATTTACTAAACTGATTTGATTTTTTTTTTTTACTATTTGTTTTAGTGACAAACGTTCACATTTTGGCTTCGCTGCACTCAAAGTTTTACAGATCCATAAATGTCTGAACGTCTAATCTGAAAGCATCCCATAATATTTCACTCATCTGGCGGGTCACATTTCATCCCTTACAACAGAATTCTCTCTGATCACCCTTGTACTGATTTGCAGAAAGAGTTTATAAATAATGCTTTAGAATTGTTTATTATATAAAATATAAGTGGACTTGTCATAATTGTCTGAAATTAAAATAGATTATTTTCTTGTTATTTGTTTGCACATTTGTTTGAACTCCATTTAGTTGTTTGAGAAGCTGTATTGTAGTTTAACATGCATTTGTTTCCTCAAATTAAACCTGTCTTCGCCCCCCCCCCCCCCCCACCCCCAAAAGCTAGATCCATTAAAATGAACTTTCATAACGTTCGGTGTCATCTGCATACAGGAGGATTTAAAGAATTGTGCAGTTTTTATTTCCTAGCTGTAAAAATTTAACAGATCAGTTTATTAGACCTCAACACACAGAAGAGTTTATATATTTATAATATAAAACATACATCTGATGTATATTTCAAAGTGTTGCTGGTAATGCATGTTTTATTGGTTGATTCTGCTTCAAGAAATCACTTCAGGATTTGTTCTAAAAGTTTTATGAGTTTCCCATTTCATCCTGTTAAAGAGGTTTTTGTTTTCTTTCGCTGAATATTTTCTGTTGTTTGTAAAAGTTCAGTTTTGTGATGAAATCTGCGTATCCTTGAAACATTTATTTATTTTTATCTTTATGGGGTGTAAACAAATATTTGAGGGTGAATAAAATATATTTTTGTTTATTCCTGTTGGCATCATTCATTTCATTTTTTTTTTCTATTGGCTGTTCCTTTCCTCAGGGGTCACCACAGCAAATAAACTCGCACGAAGATTTGGCAATTGTTATTACGCCAGATGCCCTTCCTGACGCAACCACAGACCAGGACTTATAGGCGAGATAGAGGGATCAGCCTGGAAAGGATGTGCAGCATGTTAGGCTTGTTAAATATAGGAATGTTGTAAGTGGGGGGAGTGTGACGGGAAGATGGAAAGAGTTTGTTGAGCTAATGAATGAAGAGAAAAAAGAGTAGAGGTCATAGAAATTGTGGACCTGAAGTGGGAAAGATTAGTGAGGGTGAATTTCAGAAATCTCTGAAAAGAAGGAAGAAGGGGAAGGCAGTAGGACTTGATGACATACCAGTGGAGGTTTGAAAATGTCTTGGAGAGATGGCAGTGAGGTTTTTGGCTCAAATATTCAATGGCATATTTGAGGGTGATAAAATACCTGAGGAATGGAGAAGAAATGTGCTGGTGCCCATTTTGAAGAACAAGTGTGATGTACAGAGTTGTAGCAACTTCTGGGGAATTAAGTTGATTAGTCACATAAAGAAGATCTGGGAGAGAGTTGTGATAACAGTGATAACAACTTTGATAACAGTCTATCTGTTTTAAATTGTGCTCTATAAATAAATATGACTTGACTTGACTTGTGGAAGCTAGACTTAGACGAGAGTTGACTATCTGTGAGCAGTAGTATGGCTTCATGTCAAGGAAGGGCACAGACACCATCTTTGCTTTGAGGATGCTGATGGAGAAGTACAGAGAAGGTCAGAAAGAACTCCATTGTGTCTTTGTGGATTTAGAAAAAGCATACGACAGGGTGCCAAGGGAGGAGGTGTGGTATTGCATGTGGAAATCTGGAGTGGCAGATAAGTATGTTAGACTGGTACAGGACATGTATGAGGACAGCAGGACATGTATGAGGACAGTGGTGAGAGGTGCTGTAGGAGTGACAGTTTCAAGGTGGAGGTAGGATTGCAACAAGCTCTGAGCCCCTTCCTGTTTGCTCTGGTGATGGACTGCCTAACAGATGAGGTCAGACAGGAATCCCCGTGGACTATGATGTTTGAAGATAATGTGATCTGTGGTGAGAACAGGGAACAGGTGGAAGAGAACTTGGAGACGTGGAGATATGCACTTGAAAGAAGAGGAATGAAAGTTGGTCCTAGTAAGACAGATAACATGTGAATGAGAGGGGGGAGGTGGAACAGTGAGGCTACAAGGAGCAGAGGTCACAAAGGTTTAGTGGGTATGATGGTAGAAGGATGTTAGAAATGCAGCTGCCAGGAAAAAGACAAAGAGATGCTTCCTCCATCTTTATTTGTGTTGATGATAGCTCAGTGACTGTAAACCGTGACTACTTCTTCTTTCGGCTTTTCTCTCTTCAGGGGTCACCACTACGAGTCCTCCTCCTCCATCTCACTCTGTCCTCTACATCTTCTGTCCTCACTCCAACTACCTCCATGTCCTCTCTAACGCACTAAACCGTGACTAAAATCTGTAAATAATTATCCATTGTTTCAGAACAACGTGTTTCTTGTTATGTTTTGTTTCTGTCAGATGTGTCAGAGTCTGTCCTGCACTCCATGAAGCGAAGTCGTCGCCTCCTTTTCGTCCTCAGTCCAGGCCTTCTGGTGGAGAAGACTTTTGGCCTCCTGGAGTGTCGTCTTGGTCTGTTCCTGCAGCGCAGCCTCCAGGCCTCCATTGTGGCAGTGGTTTACCGCTCTGTTAGTAAACTGGGCGGTACCGAGGTTGCTCAGCTTCGACGGTCCGCCATCTGCACTGTGACATGGAGAGGAAGTCGGTCCGAACCGCAGCGCTCTCGCTTCTGGCTGAGGCTGCGGCTGGCGCTGCCGCTACGGCCACTGGCTCTGGGCCGGAGGCTGATTGACAGCACTTCATCCCACTCCGACCTGGCTGCCCTTGCCCTGCAGAGAGTCCAACGCATCCACAACCAGAACCGCAGAGGCAGAACCAGTCAGACCAGGAAGATTTCAGCCAATCAAAGTCTCCTCAGAGGGAGGGGCAGCATGAGAAGGGAGGAGGGGCCTCAATGTACCAGAACCTGCTCGGGGTGTGTTGGATTTACGGACCGAGGGAAAGAAAGGCGGGTGGAGCTTACAGTGGAGACAGCGGTCCAGCAGGTGTTGTGTGACGGAACAGATCCAGGTCCAGACTCCGCCCAGATTCATGACTCCACCCACAAAAACAACAGTCACGCCCATTCAATTGACTCCACCCTCCCCAGTGATCAGCAGGTGAGAAAAGAGAACTTCATGTCTCAACACCATCTGATTGGCTGCAGGATTTCAGAGGAAGTGATGTCAGCAGAGGAGGGAGAGGGGCTTGTGGTGAAGAAGACTTTGACTCCACCTCCAACAGAAAACATCAAGTGAACCTTTGAATTTTTGTTTTTATTTAGACATGAAGCGATGCTGCATTCAAGTCCTGTGGGAAACACGAGAGTCACGTAGACTTAGTTTTAATAAAAACTTTTTCTACTTTGGCTTTCAGGTAAGTTTCAGCAGAGAACTTTCAGACTGTATTTCTCTGGCTCATCTGAATTTTTTTTATGATTCAGATGCTAAAAGAATCTTTCTTGAGGTCCAAAAGAACAGTCTGTTTTTTTTAAAGACTTTTATCTGAACATCTACTGTTTTCTGATGCTAAAAACAAGCCAACATTTATTTAGATAAATTTTCATTTGGACTTGTATGTTTTAATCATTGCTTTATATTTTACTTTACATCTGCACCAACAGATTTGTTTCGTATAAATTAACATTAACTTCTAAACAGAATTATACTTTTCTAAAACTTCTATCTTCTGAATATTTCTGAACTTGACCTGATCATAAATTGAACTTTTCTGTTTCCTGTTTTTGTGCTAACAGACTTAAGTGAATCAGTTTTAATTGATTTTCTTTTCTCCTCAGTGTCTTTAAATGTGAAAATTTCAGGGTCAGGTTATTTTTAAAAACACTTTCTGAAACAAAGCCTGGCCTAAAAGCTTTAATTTGGGAACTAAACCAAGTTCCAGGAGAAACATTTAATCTCAAAACAACTTCTGATTACTGTGATGTTTAACTTTGTTGAAATCATCTCACCGTCTCTTTGGATCTGAGCCTCTGTAAACAGACGATGACAGCAGAACTTTTCCTCACCACCAAGCTGGACTTCCAGCTTCAAACTCTGGGTTGATTTTTGATTTAAAATCTCTAAATGTCGCGCCCATGGGAGAAACAGATCCTTTCTTTGGTTGCTCTACATGTGGGTCAGAACCAAAACATTGTCTTAATTTCACCTCCATGTGCATCAAAGAGTGAAAATATTAAAGTTTCTGAATATCACGTGGACTAATACACATTTAACCTCGAAGCACTGAAACTCACACCATTGTTGAAGCATTGTGGTTGTAAAAATCTGAGAAATTTAACAACATCTTTAGAACTTGCAGTGGTTTTATATTTCAAAATACTTGCTGAATTTTGTTTTTAAGAAGTCCTGATGTCTTTGGAACCAGCAGCATCTGAGACCTGCGGGTGGTGCTGCTGCACAACAACCTGCTGCTGGCTGGCCTTCAGTCCTGTTCTGCAGAGCTGAATGAAGACTCATTCATTCATTCATTCATTCACTGGGGGCGGCTGTGGCTGAGTGGTTAGAGCAGTCATCCTCCAATGGGAGAGCTGGGGATTCAATTCCACTAGCAGTCACATGTTGAAGTGTCCCTGGGCAAGACACTGAACCCCTCATTGCCTCTGATGTGTGTCCCATCCGTGTATGAATGTGATCTAAAGCTCTGATTAGTCTTTTCAGATTAGTTTTGTATAGATCTAGTAGAGTGCTGTATGAATGGTTAAATGAGGGCACAGATTGCGCTTTGAGCATCTTGATTAGATGGACAGGTGCTACTGTATATAAGTACAGACCATTTACTCATTCATTCTTGTTTCCTGATGTGAGGAGTACAAATAAACTTGTTGGATTTTTCTTCATTTGTCTCTGTGCACCAGTGAC